CCTTAATCTATGAATCTATGAAAAACCCACAGATATTATAAACAACCCCTGTTCTGGTCACAAGCCCAGGGTCCCAGGGGATGTATTGCCTCTGCATGGTATAACATCTTCCACCCCTCTTGGAAGGTCCTCCTGCGGGTCCAGGTCCGTGTCAGGGCATCTGACTGCACGTTACCTAACCTCGCTCATGCCCTGTCACGTCCAACAACACGACACTAGTCACAAAACTCTTTCACACTTTGAGCCATTCATTTACCCTTGTGCGACCACAGAGTGGATGCCTGGGACCTGCTTTCTTTTTGGCTCAGTACCTTTCTTCTGATCAGGTGGTGCAATGCCAGCCAGTCAGTACAGGCTATCCTTTGGTGTTGACTTTAGACATCCTGTTCTTGCAGGACAGCTGTTATTTAGAGCTGAGTTTTATTTCTTGGCATGAACTGATTGTTCCCATACTAGACATGCATCCTCTGCGGGGAGTAACGCAAGACAGTAGCAGTGGTTCATAACGTATCTGCGTTCACTCCCCAGTTTGAGGTGTCCATCTTTCAAAGTATGTTGTTCCAGGCACTGACTTTCCCTTTCATCTTCTTCATGTGTGCTTTGAAGGTAAGTGTTTGGTCCAATGTGACCCCCAAGTACACAGGGTTCGGGTAACTAGTTCGTGGGATTCCATCCCAGGTGATGTTTAATTTCCACTTGACTTCTCTATGGTGAGATGAAAAGCTGTGACCTGCGTCTGGCTTGGGTTGCTGTGAAGCCACTGGCGACGCATAGGGGGTTCACGTGGGTGCATGTGCAGCCCCTGAGCATGGCGCTGCACCCCCTGCAAAAAGGCACCAACACTGTCGGCAGCGCTGACAGGCAGTTGCTGCTCACCAACCTCCCCCGCCCCGCTGCTGACACCACTGGCGGCGTCGGCGTGCGGTCAGCGATCACCACTGGCCACTGCTGACACTGCCAGCAGTGTTTTTGGGTGGTCACCAACCTCTGGTCAGCGCTCACCCCCCCCACCCCCAACAGTGCCGGCGGCATCTGCGGGAGCTCCTGCTTACCAGTGCCACGCTGCCACTGCCACACCCCCGCAGCTGCCATGGGCACGTGTTGTTCATGGATGAAGCTGGCTCTTATTATAGTAATCTGAGAGGTTGCTCAGGGCACGTGTCAGTCTGTTCTCAACAGTAGCAAAGTCCTTCTCATGACATGATGCATGCATCATCAGCATACATGAAGCTCCTTGTATTATTCCATTTGGGTTGGTCATTGGTGTGTGTATATATATATATATATATATATATATATACACGTATGTGTGTGTGTG